ATGAGTAGCCTAAGAAAGACATGAGGCAGCCAGGGATAAGGTGAGACGGTCCAGTAGAAGATTCAAGAAGGGGACTTGGAAGATAGCTCAGTATGAAAGTGTTTGGTTCACAAACATGAAGACCTTGGTTTGATTCCCAGAACACATACAAAACTGTATGATATGGTGACACGTGCTTGCAATCCCAGCAGTGTGGAGGCAGAGACAGGAGGATTCCTGGGGCTCACTGAGCAGCCAGTCTAGCCTGATTAATAAACTAGAGCTCATTAATGAGAGACTCCATCTCTGAGAAGGAGATGGTGTTTCTGAGAATGACACCCAAAGTTGTCCACTGGCCCGCACACATATACATATGTACACAACAGTTCCTAGTAGATATGGGAGCCACTTTGCTCGCCTGATGCAAGATATATGACCTCAGATTCAAGAGTCAGTACCACACCCCATGATTGAAAAAAAATGATCCACCACTTTGATACATCATATTTGTATAACTAAACTCAGAATTTTCAGAGTCATCAGGGGTGAAAAGGTCATGTACAAAGAGATGTCTGTATACAATTTTCCCAACTGAACCATCATCCAGGAGCAAGAAACAATAAAAAGATATAATCCAGCTGCAGCTGAATGCTCACCAAGACCATCCCTGGGGGAAGCCTAGACTCCCAGAAGAAAGAAGTCTAGTTAAATCTGTGAGCAAGCCTCAGTGGTTCACACCAGCAGTGAACAAGTAATGCAGAGGATTGTTTGAATAGGCAAAACTAAAACACTGGGCAACAGCAGCCTAGAGATGTGTATTGTGGGGGCAGGCAGGGTGACAGCACCTAGAACACACCCAGGTCTCCTGAGGCTCGAAAGATGGGTCCGCATGATATAGAGATCATAAAAGTATTTAAAATGTGACTCTATGGGAGCCATAGAAATTCACACACAGGCTGGAGTAGCGGAGTGCACCCAGAAAATGCCTCTGTCACTGACAGCTTTGTGAACTCCTGGGAGTCAGGGCTACTGCTTGACACACCTTGGAAGACCTACTACATTTGTGGGAACAATCAAGCCCCACCCACAGCAGGATCTCTGCATAAATGCACCCATTCCATGGCTGCCAGTATGTTAGATGTCCACTAAGGTCACAGGTGAGTACTCAGGATTCCTAAGAGCAGTAGTAGTCAGGTCACCAATGTTGTGCTTCTCCATGATCTAGGGCCCTGGGCCTTGCTCTGCACCTTCTCCTTGGACCTGGATATCAATCTCTTTTGAATGCTAGTGGCATGTGGCTTGAGTCCTCCAGAGTGAAGGGCAATGCCTATCAGACCTAGATAGTTCCCTGTGTCCTCTCTAAGCTGTTGGCATTACTCCTGTCTCCTGGTAAGAGAGGTGGGCCTTCTGGGGGAGGAGCAGACTCCTGCCTGCTTTTCACAGTGCATCTCTTTAAGGGGGCACACCCCCATTTTCACTGCAGGGTAGACTGGGAAGAGATCCTTTCCCTTACCTGCTTCCACCACTCCAAGTCCACTATACCTGCACACATCTCATAGGTGAGCCTAGAAGAGTTTTCTTAGGATATGTGTGTATCCTTGGGAGGTCCCTGAATGATTCTGGGTCTCTGTCCAGCCATTTTGGTTGGGATAGCACTGCAGGCCACTTCTACCTTCAGCATACACTGAAAGGACTGTCTGCATGTGGATTTTTGCACACCATGAACAGGTATGTGTCCTATGCTAGGACAAGATTATGGCTTCCTAGTTCTCACACACAGATGAGGTCCAAGTCTTGGTTTGGCCTGGCACTAAACGTCAGTGTGACTGCTTGGGATCTGCCTCGTGGGAGCAGACACTCTGGGGCTTTCCCAGTGATATCCCTCCCCCACTGGGATTAGCACCCCGTCTCCATGCCAGAGTGTCCAAGATTCCTAAGAGCCTCTTAGATAAGGAGACTTGGGTATATCAGGTAACCCGTGGGGTAGGGGTTGCCCTGGGTCCTTAGAGGGACCAGACCAGTAGCTCAGTCTCCAAAATCTGGTGGCTCTGGTCTAGGCTGACTTATCTCATTAATAGAAAGAGACAGCGCGGTGTGGGAGTATTCCACAAGCAGTGCTGCTTTCTCCGCTCGTGTACCTCATTAACATGCCACAGACATCACTGCGGACTTCATAACACTAAGCAGGCTGAATGGACGGCAGGGACACTGCTGCCCCGTATTCAGAAAACATCGAGTGATGCTTCTCCTGGGCAGGCACAGGGCTGCATCCCTGCCGCCTCCGCTCACGCCCAACCTGCCCATTAGCATTAGCAGAAAGCCCCTATTTGCATTGAGACAATGATCCTACCCCTGAAGCAGAGCTGCAGGGGCACTGGGCATTTGTTGGCACAATTGCCCTTTGTGCCCGCTCCAGTGGGCAGGCGGGGAATATGTCCCAGGGGCTCATGGAGATGTGGCCAGCCCTGAGCCAAATCCCCATGCCATCTGATGAGGACGTAGCAGCTTGGCGCTCAGTAGAGTGGGGCCCAGGCTGGGTCCTGACAGACGGGATGCCTAGGGTAGTCTTCAGGAGCATAGAACAGCTACAGCCTCTTTCTCAAACACTTCCCACCCTCCTGCCAAGATGTAGTAGTGGGAACAATGACACAAGCCACAGGTCTGCTGCCCCCAGACAAGCTGAACTTGGTGGGCTGGGGCCCTAACACCTGTGAGAAGAAGGATGAGGAACAATATTGTTGGTCATCCTCTGCTATACCTAAAACTGTCCTTACAACTGCCAACAAGCTGCAAGTTTCTGCAACATTCTACTTAGTACCAACACATTCTAGCAGGTCCCAGGCATTGGGAAGAAATCTGAGAAGCCTAAATGACAGAATAACAGAGGGGCATAGCATCAACACAGGAGACAGTGTTGGATACACATTGTCGGTCTGGATCTTTAGTTCACATCCTACCAAGGATGCAATGTCAGTGCCTATTTCCTGCCTGACCACATAGCACATAAGGCTTGGCATAACTCTTGGCAGCCCAGATACTGAAACTGGATGTCCAGTCTCCAACAGGACACTCAAATGAAGCCTTCCCTTGGAGCCTGGGACTCATTGAAGGTAAGCAGGAATAATCCTGAATGAGAGGGTAGATTCTGACTGCAGAAACCAGGCCCACAGGAGCCAGCACTAGGCCCTGGGTTTTCTATCATTGCTAGAGTGAGCAAACAGTCAAAGAGGAAGTGAGATGAACACCTATGCCTTTGGCTCAACCTTCCAGCTCTCCAATAGGATGAGGATTCTCCCCAACCTCAAGTGCTGAGGCCTAACTATCATTTCTTTGTACTTTCAGTCAGATGTCCCCTCCACTTAGGACTGCATCTTGGGCAGGGACTTTGGGAATGTTTGTGAGGTCTCTCCTCCCTGTCTTTCAGAAAGTGGTACTTGGACTCTCCCAATTCATGAATACTTGGGTCCCTTAGATAAAATAGGAAAGCATTTACACAGAACTTTCTTGCACATCCGTATGACATCTCCAGACTCTTTAGAAAAACAACTGCCATGTAATAACCTGCTAACTGATTGAGTCAGAGGATGCAGAACCTGTGGACACTGGGATAGCTGAACCATTTGCCTCAGTATATAGTCCTGAGAGGAATCAGTCAGCAGGACAGTGTAAGGGATTTCCCAGGAGATGCTGAGAAAAAAAAAAATGTGGTAAGTATAATCACATCCCAGTCCCAGTGACAGATCATTATCTCAATACCCACACTGACTCAGAGGAGGAAAAAGGCCAGAACCATTCAAATCAAGTTACAGACAGCTGCTAGAGAATTCAGTCATTCACTGTGAGCTGGGTACTGAAGTTTTCAGAGAGATAATGAGAGCTGCAGGGAGAACTGGGTTCCTTCCACAACCACCTATGCTGTCTCCCAAGGGTTATGCTGCAAATTCAAAGTCTCCACTTTGTATTTGGGGCCAGGAATGTGAGAATCCTAGACCCATGCAGCCGTGTCTCATGGGAAAGTACTCAACAATATACCGTGATAACAGAAACAGTACATGTACCTCCAGAGAAGTCTCTCTGGTCAGTGGATACCTGGTGCTCCTGCTGTGGTCCCCAATAAAGGTGTCTCCAGATCAAAGGAAGGAGGTGCCAAGAGTGCTCACAGCCTATCTGCCCTGTATCTGGTGACCCAGAGGCATATCTGGAGGCATGCCACATTCCCACTCTGTGGCCTGGAAAATATGCCTGACCTCTCCACGTTCCCTTCTCAAGTGTTGCAGAGCCTCGCTGTGGCTTAACAAAGGCAAAACTTGAACTGGGACCCAACATCCAAAGCTTGGACAGGCCTGCAGTCTAATAACCAGGTCCCATGAGCCAGGCCTCATCCAAGCCCCACAGTGGGATGAATATAGAGGAACAGCTCTGGTGAGAGCAGATGTAAACCTAGGGCTTTAAGAAGTGTCTGTCCATCAAGGTGCTGACCCCAATTCCATATGTTCCCATGATTTCACCAACCATTCACTGGCTCTCCAGAGCCTGCAGAGGCCTCATCTCTACCACCCTCACCTCGGGACTTCCCTGTCAGTGGGCAAATCTCTAAGAGGTCACCCTAGCCATTTTTCAAATACAGAAACTTGGGTGCTGAAAAAGAGAGGTCCAGTGAATAGGACGTATGTTCCACCTTCCCTTTTGTGGCAAGGTCAGGCCATGCTGACCCCCAACGTCAAAGGCAGTTGTAGGCCTCCTCTCAGAAGACTGTACTTCCTTTGGAAAGGCAAGGGGAACACGGCATCAAAGCTTTCAGAAACTTCCAGGTCTACTCTGCCTTCCATCCTCCTGTAGCAGAGACCTCAAAGCTATGTTTGGGCTCCCAAGTTAGGCAGAGACTGTGTGTGCAAAGGGTCCTTATGGAGAGAGTACCAGGAGAGGACTGGGGGTGGCATGGAAACTCCCCAAGCCAGACTGACGCTGCTACAGGGTCAGCACTGAGGGCCCTGGCCCTGCACACATGTGTGCTTGCTTACCTGAGCTGTCATAGCCTTCAGGGGAGAAATGGTCTGGCCTCCGATCCTCTGGAGGATCATATGTGATGTGAGGGACATTGAATATTTTCTCTCCGGGACTCATCCCATTATCCTTGTCCAGCTTGAACTTCTTCTTCTTTACCTAAAATGTTCACATGATGAATGGCAGCTCCTGAGCACCATCTGCCAGATCGTCAACCAGCCCCACAGCACCTGTAGAGTCCTGAGTCCAGCCTTGAGATATGTACCCTTGAGGGAACTTGGGTCAGAGGCTGAGCTCTAGCACCCTCAAACATTGATGGAGTGAGGTTTCAGTGTGCTGATGTTGCTGGAGGGATCAGGGTGTGACTTGGCCCAGAGTGGCCCTCTGTGAGCCTTAGCCTAAGAAAGGCAGACAGACCAAAAAAATAAAAATAGGACAATAGTATGGCTGAAGGCCAAGGCAGCAAAGTAAATGGTGGGAGATACACTAGGAGCACTGGAGCCTCTTTAAAGAGGTCTCCTGGCTGGGCGGTGGTGGCACACACCTTTAATTCCAGCACTCGGGAGGCAAAGGCAGGCAGATCTTTGTCAGTTCAAGAATAGCCTGGTCTACAGAACAAATTTCAGGACAGCCAAGGCCACATTAGAAAACCCTGTCTGGGAAAAAAAATCAAACCAAAACAAGCAAAGGGGTCCCCTGGATAAAGTGGGGAAGCAGGTTGTGTGAAGCCAGGGAGAACATCCAGGCAAAGGGAAGAGCAAGTTCAAGTGTCCAGTGACAATTGGAAGCTGGGAAGATTGTCTCTTCAAGGAAAGTGAAGTGAGGGCCAGCAAGAGGAAGAGCTCCAACCTTTTCCTCAGTGCTCCAGGTAGATGACAGGTCTCCTGCCCACAGCTGCTGGAACCTCCCTCCTCTGTGATCTAGAGCTCCTACCTTCCCCTCTGCCTGCTTTACCCAACAAGGAAAACCAGCACCAGGATCCTCTCAAGAGCTTTCTTTTAGCAGTTGATGGAGTCAGCCCATCCTATTTCAGAAGTACTCTCTTTAGACCTATCCTGGTCTTGGCATGGCCGGTCCAATATGGCTCCAAGGGCAGAGGACATGAGGACAGCAGGGATCAGGTCAGATTTCCTCTGAATGGTGGTGGGACCCCAATGAGCGCTACCCTCAATGGCAATACTAGGGTTTCACACTCAGCCTCTCCAGCTTCCTGAGCTGCTAACACTCAATCCCCATTCTGGTGACTGGTAAGATTGCTTACCATGACAGACTTCTTAGGCTTGGGGCTAGGGGACAGCAGAGGGTGGCTCCGGGCAGGCTTCCGGACATAGATCTTCCAGGTGGATGAGTCAGGGTTCTCAGCAGCATAGCACCTCCATGCAGTCTGATAACAGATAGAGGGGAGAGGAAAGAGAAGTCATTGATCCAGCCATTCAGTGGTACCTCTTGGAAAACCTTGAGCTCTTCCCAGAGCCCCAGGCCCCTTCCCTGGCAGCAGGAACTGGCCCTCTAGGGCTAGGAAGGGAACTGTCTTATGCGTCAACTATCAGTCATAACTCAGATGCTAACAAGACCTTTGCCTGTGACCTGAATCCCTCCTGAAGAGTGGCCTCGAGCAAACCTCAGACACATCAGCTAAGGCAGAGTTAGACACTTGGGTTTACCTAGAGAAAGATAGTGGAAAAGGGTTGCCCGGGCCTGTGTGAACACCAGCAGGGTGTGGAACACCAGCAGGGACCAGCATGAGGTGAGGCCTCCTCGAGGCTTCAAGTGCTAGCCTGTGACTATGAGGAGCCTCTGATGATTACAAAGGAATCTCTTGGCCAGCATTCTAGAGGGACAATCCCTTCCCTTACATTACAGCAAGGTGACCCGCAAAAGACCCTGGAGGGGCCTGAGGGAACCAAGGCAGCAAGAAGAGGAAGAAACACATGCCAGAACCTCTTATGGGGACATATCACAATGGCTTTGTCACTAGAGGCCCTATGGGCATAAGAAAGCAAAACTGGTTCAAAGTTCTACGTGCTGGCAATGCTTCTGGGAAGACAGCCCCATTCTGTGACAGGAATCTAACACAGACACCAAACCCAGGCAGGGATACCTATGACCCAGGACAGTTTAGAGGCCCTTCCAAGGGTTGTATGTTTCACGCACACCCTATGTGGGCAGCTCCACTTGAACCAGAGGTGTTCACACAGTGGTTATAGCCACTACTCTGGTTAGATGGTTATGTCCACACTCAGGCTATGTTGGTCATGTAGAGCACCCGTGCTCAGAGTCCTCACCTGACCTCAGCTCGGTTAGCAATAAAAACCAGAGACCCAGTTTGCAACGGTTCTCTTTACCATTGAAGGGCAGTCCAGGTCTCTGGAGTGTTCCTAAGGGCCTAGAGAACAGTAGCAAAGCCCACCATTTCTTCAGTTATATTTAGAGCCTTCTTGCTCTTTGCTCTCAGGCTCTGCTGTCACTAACTCCCAACCTTCTGAGAAGTGGCCCGTGCTGTCTGACTATTGTACTTACTATTCCCACAAATGGCCACTGGTCACCGTAAAAGCTGGGTCCTGGTCCACTAGGCCTCCTCTCTCTGACTTGTCCCTGTCCACACAGGCTGACTGGCAGAGTACAGACTGGCTGAGTGGCTATGGTCAGGCCTCATGCTACCCTGCAAGTATGGCCATCAATGGGAATAGTATAGGAAGTAATGGTCCTGCATTTTTGTGCCCATCCTGCCATCCCAATAATGGGTATTTTGCCAGAGAGCCACCTTACCATGGGAGGAGCCACAGCAAAAGGACCCATTCCTCTCAGGCAGTAGGCATGGCTGGAGGGGCTTCACTGCCCAAGCACATAGCACTAACAGCCCACCGGGCACAGCACATACCTGGATGAGGGATGCCGCGGCTGGGATCTGCCGGTTGAAGTGCTTCTGCCTCTGCTTCTGTTGGACCTTCAGGGCAAACCCAGAGCCAAGTATCCCCTGGTAAGGGACACAAGGTGTCTATTGTCACATGGGTCATGCTGGCCAATACTCAACAAAGGACAAAGGCCCCAAGGAAGAGCAAGAGGAGCAAAAGGCACCTGGAAACCAGGCATGCACAGTGCCCAGGGCTGTGGCAAGGCAGCCACCACCAGGAGGTGGGTAGGAGACACAGCAGATGCCCCAGGGAGCAGGAGTTTGAGGCTGTGCTCGACCAGGAGCCCACGGCTACTGCAGCCAGGGTAGCCAAGAAAAGCAGTGACAGAGAAAGGGTGTTACCTTAGCAATAGGGGGCCATGCAGGAGACATATACCATATGTTATAACTTATGCCTATATGTCACACATGCACATACAACAGACACATGAACACATATTATCTCCCATGTGCTGTAGAGACTCATGCAACGGATACTATATAGACATGGAACATATGTGCAAATATACGTGTACACATGACACACATTAAATCAGAGATACATATATGAACACATGTACACAGAACATGTGGTAAATGTGCTGTTCAAATGCAACACAGATACTTATAAATTCAACACATGTACAGTATATACACACAATATGTATAAGAGATACCTACAATGACACATATATACAAGTAACCAGTGTGTGTCCCACATAGCACACATGTGTAGGCATAGGTCTATGGTTTCTGGAAAGGTCATGAAACAGAGTCACTCCCAGCTGCAGAGCAGGCCTACAGGTTCTGCCCAGTCTGCTCCCCTGGACCTTACTGCTTCTGTCAAGGGTCACGACAGGCTGCCTCTCATTCTACTTCAAGGAAGGCTCAGGAGTTGGGGCAAGGATGCAGGGGAAACAGAGGATAGGGTCCCCTTGGGCACCCACCGCTGGGAGTGCAAAGAAGGATATGGCGAAGACAGAGAAACAGGAGGCGATGGTCTTCCCGACCCACGTCTGGGGTACCTTATCCCCATAGCCGATGGTGGTGACTGTGACCTACAAGGAAGAAGGACAGCAGTCAGTGGCTGGTGGGCTGAGAACCTCAGAAAGGACACCCGCCAGTTCCAAGACAGTATCTTCATAACAAGAGAGACCAACCTAAAACCCTGTTCACCATAATAGTGAGGCACAGTTCTGAGAAAGTTCCAGGAACAGCACTGTGGTAAGTTGGTTAGTTCAAGTTTCTGTCTCCTTAGTCCCTCAGCTCTGACTACCACAGATGGCACAGCCCTGGGGTTGCAGAGAGGTTGGGATGTGCAGGACAGGCAAACAGCTCAGAGCCCATCCACAGGGGCCAGGCTTCCTGCCCCATCCCAAGGAGCCCTGTCTTGGCCACCGAAGTTGCAGTACACTGGCCCCCAGGAGGCCGGAAGTTCCCACTGAGGCCAGCGGTCCACAAAGCCCCAGGATGGGGTTGACATGCTGCTTCCTGCCACCAGCCCAGGGATCCAGATGTTTCATTTTCTTTTTCAGAGAGAATAAGACAAGGCGCTAGCCTTCTTCTCGGTGGGAGAGCAGCGTCCAGGGTGTGCAGTGGGACAATAGGAGTGAGGGGCTGCTCCCCCCCCAGGTCACCCCCTGCCATCTGTCATCTGAGGTTTACTCCTGAGGCCTCTGATGAGGGGCTTGGGGGCCCACCCTGGCTGTGCCTAACTACTAGATCACACCATAAGTCTGCCTTGGGCTGGGGAGACCAGGGTGTCACACACACTCACACACAGCCACTGAGAACACAACACGCTGTCCAGGTCAGCCCTGCAGCTAAGGCAGGTCAGTGTGACGGGAGAGCCAATTGCTCACTCCAGATGCCTCAGCTGCCACACTGGGGTCCAAGTGACAACCACCCAGCCGAGACCTACATGAGAATCCCTAAGTGACCTCTGGCCAACAGGGTCAGCAAGGACGGGGCCTGGGGAACACCATTTAATAGACTTCAACTGAAGGGAGGCCCAGAGAGGAAGCTCCAAATCCCTCCAGACCATCACTGCCCACGTCATTCCCAGACAGATTGCACTCTGGACCATTGCTGTTCCCCAGTGTCCACTGAGGAAGAGGGGAAGGTAAGAGAAGTATGGGAGTCAGAGGTGACCAGGCACACATGAATGGCTGCGTAGATGGGTGCTCGCAGCCCAGGAAGCACTCTGAGCAACCACAGCAGGGGAACAGAGGACAAGGACAGCAGGAGTCACCTCATAGTGCCAAGTTCATTACTCTAGCAGTATGCTAACAAGTCATGAAACAACAGGTCAGTCTCCCTGGATGGCAACCAACAGGACAGGCCACAGCTGGCCCAGGCCACCATTGGACCACCCCCCTCAGGGCTGCACCAGGCTGTAGAGGGTACATACTGGTGTTTCCCACAACTGCCCACATGAAATCTTCCCCACAATGTCATTATCCTTAAACAAATCCACACCCCACACACAAACAGAGGGCATAGCAAGCCATTCATGACTGGGCTCTTTAAAGGGACCACCCTGTTCTACATATGTGGCCATACAGTTGGAAATGTGCCTCACATGGAGACAGGGACACACACTCCCACTCCCATACACATGAGGGAACATGCACCACCGACAGAGCCGAGACCATGGGGGTGTGCATACACACTGCACAAGTTCACAAAGAGGTCTAGAGGTCACGCCCATGACTGACAGCCAGGGCACATGCTGTCCAGACATCTTATGTGCACACACACACCTGAAACAGCTCTGAAAATGTAAACTGAAGCCAAGTCACTCCTGGGACTGAGGGCATGGCTGCCAGAGGGCTGCTGAATAAGAGGACCCAAGGGAGCTGAGCTCCTCGCTAGTAGTGTCTTCCCAGAGGGCCTGCACCACACATGTGAGCACTGGCCCACAGCTGCCTTCTCTAGGGAGTCAGGCACATGCCAGGAGCTACTTGCAAAGGCAGAGCTGGGCTGCAACCAGTGAGAGTTTAAGGTCATGTATGGTTTGTTTGAGGCTAGCCTGGGCTACATAAAACCCAGCCCCCCCCCCACCAAAAAAAAGTGGGAGAAAAAGAAAAGAACAAAAACATCTCTACAAGTGGAAGGGTAATGGTCTAGATGGCAAGCTGGGAAGAAGCACGGGTGAGTGGGGAGGAAATGAAGGGAAGAGACCTGCGGCCATGCTCCTGCCTTTCCCCTAAAGATCAGTAGGAGGAGGCTCCAGTGCAGGGGTCCTGAGTGCTGGACAGCCCCTACTGGAGGGCACCTAATTACTAGGAGCCTTTTCCTTCTCCCTGGGCCACCACAGACCTTCCAGTCCAGTTCATGAGTCCTCACTCTCAGGTGCTCTGTCCCTGTCAAATTCTTTTTCCTGAAGTTACAGAGACAGCAACTCAGGAATGGGCCATTTTATAGAGCTGTCTAGAACCTGTCCCCAACAGCCAGATCTGCAAGTCTTCTGGGACAATGAACAGAGGGGACCTTTCCAGGATCCAACCAACAGTAGGTCACCTGAGTAGATCGCTGTCCCAATGACAGAACCTGTGGGGCAGGCTATGGTTCATGGTCCCCTTCCTCCTCCTGAATAGGCTGAAGGAAGAAGAGACTGGGAGGACTTCCGGAGCTAGTGGTACCTAGTCTTCTCCTTTTGAGTCTGGAGGCAGTCTGGCCCAGAACAGTCATTGCTGGAGCTCAGCTTCCTGCATGCTCACTAACTTAACTCTTATTCATACTCATGGATTAGATGTGCCCGAAGAGGCTAGTTGGCATACCCAGGGCCACACAGCTGATACCTGGTGGGCATGGAATGTGAGTACAGCTTGGTCTCTACGGTGGTGTCACACTGTGTCACCCTTGTATCTCATCTTTCACTACTTTCTGAGGCCATCTGCTTCCTCCAGGAGGAAGGGTACCTGGGAAGCTCTATTCCTGAGACTTGCGCAGGCACATCCTTGATGGCATGAGCTAAACCCCTGTGCACCCCTGGAGGGGCATTTCACTTGTATTTTAATAAATAAAGCTTGCCTGAGGATCAGAAAATTAAAACAGCCACACTGGCCAGCCTTACAGATCAGGCAACAATAACACACACCTTTAATCCCAGTAGCCACACTAGTTGCCATAGAAACCAGGCGGTGCATGCCTTTAATCCCAGTGGTGCACACCTTTAATCCCAGAACTAGAGAGGATTATAAAATGAGAGGAGACAGATCTCAGTCTCATTCTGAGATTCCTAGGGGCAAGGTCGCCATTTAGGACTGAGGTCGAGGTAAGAGTCAGTGGCTGGCTGCTTTGCTTTCGGATCTGAGTTTTTATTAAGCATGCTTCACACCACCATCACCAGATCTGCTGAGTCTATGTAATACATCTTGTAGGCACTGGCTACTGAACAGCAACCACAAGAAAATGGGCCTACTTTGTAGACTCCTAGCCATCTGATAAAGACCTCTCCTTGGGAAGGGCTCACTAGAAAGGGTCCTGGCAGGCTCTCAGCCCTTACTGCATGATACTCATAGAACCTACATGGAGGAGGAAAAGGCTGAATGCTACAAGCCCTGACCCCTGCTCTGGCCTTCATGTCTCCATAGTCAGAACAGTCCTGAAGAATGACACCTCCCACAGACAGTTCCACAGGGTTTGCATGTGACCATCTGAGGAGACCTCCCCATACCAAGGCCCCTCTAGCCTGACTCTGCAGGATGCAATCCAGCCTGGAAGGTGGGAACCTTCCAGAGCTTCCAGGTGAGGAAAGAAGCCCAGTCAGACTGGGTTTTTTTTTTTTTAAAGGACTGAAAGGCAGGGTGGGGATCAAGTCTGCTCACTTGAAGTTCTGTATTTATCCACTCGGGGTAAACAGAGCCCAGCAGCCGCCTGTTTTCAGAGACCCCAGGCACTAAACAGAGGAGCCCGTGTTTGCAGAAACAGCTTTTCCCTCCACTCAAACCATAGTACAAACAAATGCATTCTGTTCCACAAGTAAAGGAAAGGCCTGAGGAGCTCCCCAAATGCTTCACAGCCACACTTGGACATTACACTGGGGGTTCTGGGACCTCACACCCATGTAGGTGTTTCCACCAGAGGAAGGGGACACAGTCCCATGGAGCAGGCACCTTTGTAGTCCAGCTGTGGGAATCCACGGTCTGGGAAGACAGGCAACCCCGCAAAATACAACCTGGATAACTACATTCTGGACTTAACTGTGTCCCCCACGTGGCTCACCACCCCCGTCACACACACAGACTCTAGTTTTATTCCAAATTACAGCCTTCCTTCTGGGTCCCCTGGGTGGATCCTAATCCAGTGATATGTGTCCACGTAAAACACAAAGGAACAACCCGGGATGCTCAGGCCACCAGAAACCAGACTTAATAATGAACCTTCCAAGAGCCAGCACAGCCCTGCCCATGCCTCAGTTTCAGACTCTGGTCCTCAGAACAGTGGGATCTTGACAGAACAGGACATACTGAATCCACCTGTGGGCAGTGGACAGACTTTCCTGCCCCCATTCATCTGGTTTAGTTGCTCAGTGAAGAAACACTGGCCAGAGGAGGACCCTCGGCTTCATTACAGCCTCTGCAGGCTAGCAAGGTGAGAGCAATTCCCACCCCTGCAGGCATGCCTCTATGCCTGGTCCTACCCTCAGCATATCTTAGGGGAAGCTAGTCCGGTCCCCAGGGTCCAGCCAGCACCCTTTGTGATAGGGGCCAGGGCTTGAGGTACAGCAGATAATAGAGGGGCCTGACCGAGGCTGGACACTGCTAAGGTTGGGCACCACTCACCTGTGGGTGCTCACATGCGCCCCCCTGCCACATTAATACAGATGAGCAGCAGGGTGGGGACATAATCCCCTTGTGGAATGAAGGGAGACAAAGGAGATGACTGTTCATTGGCACAGGCTAAAAAACTCTGAGCCCGGCTGCCCCTGTCCTGTAGCACTCAAGTTCTGATTACCCTAGAGGTGCCAGGAACACAGCCTTGGGCTGCTCCCACCAGACAGCTGCAGAGACAGCCGCTGAATGAATGGGGGTTGTTGGCCCCCTGAGCTGGGTGCTGGGGGTCCTGGGCAGCCAAGGGCACAGGGCCTCATGGGAACAATGGCCAGGCCAGGGGTGTGCTGTGGCCGAGGCCTGAGTTGCAGCTGACAGAGTAGGCCGGAGCACCGGTGCCAAGCTGGGCACAAAAGGGCCGTGTTCCCGGCTGGCGGGCGGATGTTTGCACAGGTGTGGGAGTGGGGGCGCCTCTCTGCCGAGGGCTGGGGGGCCAGGGACCAGGGGGCTGGGAAGCAGCTCCTGCAGGAGGCTGGGAACACAGGCAGGGCAGCACCAGGCTGGACACTGTTAAGGTTGGGCACCACTTATCAGCCACACTGTGGGTAGTCACCCACTCACTTCCTGTTGTGCCTCAGTCAGCACTGCCCATCTCTCACCAGAGAATTCTGGCTTGGAGTAGTCTGCCCTTTCCCATGCAGGCCTAGCTACATCTCTGGGATGTTTCCCCCTTCCACAGGCAAGCTTCCTAACTGGGGCACTGAGCTCTCTCCCACCAATACTACTTCCTGTCATACCAGGGTATCTGGAGACATTGGCCCCCCAAAAGGTAGACAGAGGTGAACCTAGAGCCTGTCCCAACCTGGGAGCTTGCCAGCATGTCCTTACCTTCTCTAAGTTGTTTAGAATGCTGGAAACTTCCAAAAAGCAGACTGAATTGGCCAATGTCAAGAATTCCTGCTATGTGCCCTGCTTCCTGGGGGCACGTGAGAATTGTGGGAACATGTGTTTGCCCCAGATCCCTGTTGCCACCTTAATCTAGAATCTCTGAGAGTGAACAGGCCTCAGAGATTGTTCATTCCTGGTCGGGGTATTTGGGGGACACTGAAACCAGGGCCCAATATGGCTGTTTGCTCTGCGCCAGGTTCCCAGAGCCTGTGTTGTCCCTTTCTATGGGTTGCCACAATCCAACCAACCTTTTCAGTAGCCTAGTGAGCTCCAAGTCCAACAGACTGAGAATGCTGGATGGGAAGGAGTTGGCTCTGGTATCCTCACACTCCCCCAGGGGTGCCAACCCTGGTAGTTCCTCCAGGCATGATGGTGGCTCTGTACAACCTATTGCCCTCAGAGTTGAGGGGTGCGATAGAGTCGGGGGTAGCCCACAACTGCCCTGAACTATGTGCTGCTGTTAGATATTTGTGTTCCCTGTGCATAGGGGTTCTTGACGTCTAATGCCTGGACAAAGCCTGCTTTCAGAGAAGGACCTACAGGCCATGCGGCAGCCATCAACTTCTGGAGGACACTGGCAATTAGAAAGCCCCCTAAATTGCCTTAGTCAGAGGCTTTTAGGCCATGAGCAATGGTTCCAAGGTCATAGACCAGTACTCCAAGAGTGTGCCTGGATTTCTTCAACACCATCTTCACCAGAACCTCTCCTTCTTCTGCCTGCTAGCCGACTCCTGGGGAGTCATATGTCCCCACCCATCTCCCCCTATCTCTCTCTCTCTCTCTCTCTCTCTCTCTCTCTCTCTCTCTCACACACACACACACACACACACACACACACACACACACACACACGCGCGCGCGCCTGCACACATCACCACCCCTTGGGACATTCAGCCCTAGCATAAGAGGTCATCTGTCACACACCAGGCTCCATACATACTGGCAACTCAGCTGGTTTGAAGTCACCTAACCCAGGAGGCTCATGACCATCTTCATAACCTTAGGGCCTGGCTGGCCCTCACACTGTTGCTGCCTGGGGCAGTGAAGGACCATGTAAACCTCACATCCACAGAAACCCTGCTTCTTTCTCCCAGGCCCCAAGGACCGTGAAGATATTATGCCATCTCACGGCTTGATTCCGGGCACAGGTGTGTTCTCTGGGTCAGCACAGAGACCAAAGACATGCAAAGTGTGCATCTGACTCCTCCCTTCACTCTGAGCCCATGACCCCTCCAGGGCAAAGATCACCACAAGGTTGAGGTACCAAGCTCCGTGTGTCCCATCAGCTTTCCCTTCCAAAACAGAAGTTGAAAGATAACAGTGTTCAAATTTCAAAGTGGGGACCAGGGAACGCTTACTCTGGTACAGAGGGACCCATACTGTAGGCTTCACGAGCAAATTTTGTGGTTGAAAAGTTTTTAATGTTGGGGTTAGTAGCCTCAGGGCAGGAGGCGAAACAATTGAGCAAGTAGAGCCCAATATCCCTAACCCTGCTGCCCAGGTCCATGTGACCCCTCCCTGAGATACCCCAGCAAAAGATTCCAACTTACCACCCCCCACCACAGAGCATCTGCATAGCTGCCAAACTCGATGCGGCCGGACTCGTTCACAGCATCTTTCTCAGCCAGGTAGACAAAGTAGGAGGAGAAGATAAGACCCAGAAAGCCAATGTACAGGGTGGTGATCAGCTCCTGGGGACAAACAACACAACAGCCATGCTCATATATCCTGTGGTCCAGAGCTCCATGGGTGTGGTGAGAGTGCCTTGGTAGAAAGCTCCAGCATTTGCTAGATTATACTATGCTGGCTATAGGGTGGTCTACATGCAGAAGTCACCTTCCAGAGCAACCCAGTTTTCACAGCTCTTGAAGGTGATAAATAATGCTACTTGGCAGTGAGGCAGTCTCAGCTATCATGCTGAATCAGCCACTGGGTTACCAGATTCCTCTGTTCTCATGGCAGGACAGTACTTAAGAGTCATGTGTCCCACAAGCCTCTCTGGGAAAGAGTTCCCATTGGACAGTATCTGAGACCCTCGCCACTGCACCACCCTTGATTTCCGAGCTTCCTAAATCTGTTCTCCACTGTACTTTTGTCCCAAGTCTGAGGGAGGTGGCATCAGCTCTGCACCATGGGCAGACCAAGTATGCTACCATCGTGGATATGGAGTGGGTTCAGATTGCAAGGGAGGGCTCTAGGGGTTCTGGACCCTGTCCTCAGACCCATATGCCTTGGTATCTGCTTAGCTCTGGGTCACTCAGCTGGGGTCCTGGCACTAAGATACCACCAACCCCATATCCCAGCCTTGTGAATCTCTGGCCCTCCTGCTGTAGGCTGACTAGCTTCTGTCCTGCCCACACCAGGCTCACTCACCTGACGGTGAATGAAGACCACAGAGCCCAGAAGCCTCCAGGTACCCCCCTGGCGATCAACGTGCAGCATCCGCAGGATCTGAAGGAAGCGGATGCCCCTAAGAAGCAGGGAGAGAGGGCCTAAGAGGGTCATGGTGGTCACAAGCATTTGCCTCCTATGTTCCTGTCCCCACCAAGAGCCAATGGGTAGAGGAGACACACACATGTCACCCTGTACTGGGCCATCTTGCTTCCTACAGGTGCCTGTGAACCCTGACTCTAGCAGTCCTTCCAGATGGCCTTCTTGGGGGAGGCCCAAGTCACCCACATTGCAACCACCGAGTCGGCCTATCACCTAAGTCCTAGGAGCTTGGAAGTGCTGGGGTCAGGCTTTGAACCCAGGGTTGCCTACTGTCTCAATACTATGAACTATGGTCACCCTGCCCCTTCTCAACCCACCATGAAAGAGCCAGGTAGAGGGAGGGAGAGGCTACTGCTTACGAGGAGGGAGCCCTGTGGTGGGTCCTGTCTCACAGGGAGAAATGGAAGAACCAACATACCTGATAGCCGATGTCGCAAACACTTGTCCTTTGGAGCCCACACAGAGAACAACCATAGAGGCTACAACCACGATGAGGTCTGTGGGAGGGGCAGCTGGTTATTACTTCCGGCACCCAGGGATTTGGGGACGTTGGGTCACCACCCAACTCCGGGTAATGTGACATTCAAGCAAGATGAGACCCAACTATTCAGGGCACAAGAACAATCTAGGTGGGGACCCACGCTTGTGTCTTTACCTAAGTCAGAGTAGACAGAGCCTAAAGCTTGTCAAGCCTTGCTGGGCAAGGAGAGTCACATGAAGCTGTGGCTCCAGGGCTGGGGGAGCCGGGCACACTTCCTGCTGGCCACAGGGCCTGTCTTGCTGTAGGGAGAACAATGTGTGGGGGAGTGTCTCAGTCCATGGGGACTCTCTGGGAAGGACTGTGATCTGGGATGTCCTTCTGGCTGCAGGGGCGTGGTATGGAGTGTCTGTAGGGTAGGTAGGACTCACCAATGATGGAAATGGGTTTCCGGGCAAAGCGCAGCCTGCCCCAGATGCCCACGTACTTGCTGCGGCAGCCTGCAGACCAGAGGCGGACCACATACTCTGTCCCAAAGAACACCACAAGGACGATCTCCTGAAGAAGACAGCAGTAAGCTTGTCAGAGGCTACAACCACTCAGGCTGGACCACCTACACCAGCGTATCATGCCCAAGAGCCTCTGTTGAAGGATACCCAAGACTAGCAGGCTCAGTATCCATCTGTAGTAACAGGTGGTGTCTATGAGAGGCACCTGCCTGGAAAGGCCAACACACTGAGTCCAGGAACCCCAGTAGTGGACACTGGTCAGCTACCTCTGTCTAAGGAAGACTCCACACCAGAGTTGGGCATAATGACTGAGTGTCACAATACAGTGTTGACATCCATGTTGTCCAGCTTCATGAGATCCACAGAGCTCAAACCCTGCACCTGAAGGAGGGTTCAAGTATATGTGTCTTTGGGGGACTGTCTCCCTTTCATCTCATAGCTCTGCCTCATGCTAGAGACACCATATCCACCATCTGTTTCTTTTTTTTTAAGCCTTCCTATACTCTTTATTATTATTATTATATTATTATTATTGCACCATCTGTTTCTTGACTGAGGTCTGGGTGCAAGAACCCTCCCAACCCATCCAGAGATAGCAGGACGAATAAAACAAAGGACACGGGCAGCTTCAGCTGTAAAACAGCTCCCCTTGGCCACTTCACATAGACCAGGCCTCTCCCAGTGTATCCACATAGGCAGAAGGCTCTGGAAGGGAGGGGCTTACAAGCTAGAGGAACCCAGGCTATGACCCAGGTTACAGGGTGGAAGGACAGATGGACAGAAAGCTGAATGGGTAGATGAGGAGATAGGTGAGTACAGAGACAGATACATGAGTGGATGGATGGATGGATGGATGGATGGATGGAGGAGTGGATGGATCAGTGAGTAGGGGTGGGGGCAAGGGTGGAGGAATAAGTGGGTAGACGGATGGCTGGATGAATAGGTGAACAGAAAGGCAGACCGACAGCAGACAAATGCAGGTCAGCGGTGTGAGAACCAAGTTCAAAAACAAAGGGGGACCATTAGCTCTCTCAGTTAAGTCAACAGCTAGACAGAGGTTTCCTGGCACTTGATGCAGCCTCTGACTATGATTTAGAATCCACCTAGCAGCAGTCTTGAGGCCTGCTCAGTCTGTCACAGCACTGGGTGGGAGATGCTGGGCTGCTTCCTGCTCGCACAGCCTTGACACAAACTGAAGGAATAGTCACTGCAGGCCTGACTATCACCATGAGAGAGGTCAAGGCGAGGCTCATAGGGCCTTGCTTTTGATTGGCACATAGCCTCTGCTTCTCCATCCTTCACTATCTGTCTCTTTGATGAAACGCCCAAAGGCCTGCCACATGCGCAGTACTGGAGGGTGAGGCAGTGACTGACTTGCCATGGGACAGTGGTAGCAGGAGGTCTGGTCTGGGGTACTCATATTCTGCTGCCAGTCTGGGTTCCTTCCCAGCTCCTGCCACAGGGCCATTGTCATAGGGACTGACTGTCCTGACTAAGAATACTCTTCCTGCTTGCTCTATCCCTGGGTAGCTCAGGTCTGGCCCTTATCCCTGCTATGGCATGGATGTGAGTAGCCCATTGCAAATGGGTGATTGGAGGATTTGATGCAAATACACATTTCATGTGAATTACAGCCTGCTTTGGCCCTCAAGGTCTTGACCCTGTTCCAAACCTGTGCCCCAGCTCCCAGTCAGCCTTCATTGGTAAGAGGCCCTTGGGGAAGGCCTGGGGTGAGGAGGTGAAACCACTCCCACATATGTTAGGGAACTGTGCAAAGCCACAAACCCACGAAGCCACAAAGCATTGTGCTGTTCAGGCCTGCTTCCAGCTGGCTCCCTGCCTGCCTCCCTCAGGAGCCTGGCCCTGGAGGGGACTTCCTCCTTGACGGGTAACATTGACTGGCCCTGCCCCCACCAGTCCCCTGCCAGAGAATCTGTCATGAGTGGGAGCTGAATACTGCCTACCATACACAAATGCTCTTGATTAAGATAAAATACTCTATCACCTGGCTTGTGTTTCAGGCAAGAGCAAGACTTGATGGTAGGCATGAACTTGGGAGAGAGTCATACCTCCTTCCTTGTGAGAAGAACATTTGACCCATGAAGTGGATTCATTGAGGAAGGGGGTCTGTGTGATGGCTAAGGGTGAGAGAGCAAGAGGGTGTTGGCAATGATGGGTCCTCTTTGACTGAGCATACCAGGGAGGAGCCATAGTCTCATTCACTCCAGTCAGTGCTCACTATTAGCCTGTGGAATGAATGAATGAACAAATGAATGAACAAATGAATGAATGGACAAACAAATCTGTGAAGAGCTGGGTTGTAGGATGTTGATTTATCTTTGTTTCTTGAGAGCCTGGGCCTGTAGGATTGTTGCCCAAAGTACTGTGTGTGTCTTTGACCAATATGAAAAGCCTGCTCCCAGTCCCCACCGCAGAATGTGACTTCATGGGGGACAGCATGCCTGACCATGCACAGCCCCAGTCGGTAGTTAGAGAGCTAGCTCAGACAGCAGGCCTCTGTCCCAGCTTCATGGGCCATCCATCACCCAGCTGGCTGGTAATCTAGTGGGGTTTTCTCATTTAGATGTTTGTCATTACTTAAATACCTTCTTAGCAATGGCTTCTGTTGACTACAGGTGCCCCCTGACCTAATACTTGGAGGAAAATCCATTTTGGGATTGGCCATGTGAAACGACAGGACCTCTTACACAAATCTCCAAATCCTATTCAACATGTAGACACAGTGTGAAGTCTGGCTTCAGAGAGCTTGGGCCCCATCATCCCCTGAAAATATCTGGCTAGTTATGTCCAGAGCAGGCAGGGCTGAGTTAATTAGAAGGGCTCAGTGGCTGCTGGGAAGGGGCCGAGGAAAGCAGCCCTGTCCGGGGTGGGATACAGCCATATTCAGTGTTTGCAGAGATAAAATGGTCTCCATCACCATTAGCTTTGCATGTATCCTGGAGCTAGGAGGGGTGGCCCTCAGACCATAGGCCACACTGGGACTCCAGCAAGGAGTTGACATTTGGCAAGAGTGTGAGTCTATGGGAGATGCACCGTGGGCCAGTTTTGTAGCAGCATTTCATTTGTGTTCTAATAAATAAAGCCTGCCTGAAGATCAGAAAGTAAAACAGCCCCACTGGCCAGCCTTACAGACCAGGCAGTGGTAACATAGACCTTCAATCCCAGTAACCACACTAGTTGCCATAGAAACCGGGCAGCGCATGCCTTTAATCCCAGTGGTGCACGCCTTTAATCCCAGCCCTAGAGAGGATTATAAAACGGGAGGAGACAGTTCTCAGACAGAGTCTCATTCTGAGATTCCTGGAGGCAGGATCGCCATTTTTGGACTGAGGTCAAGGTAAGAGCCAGTAGCTGGCTATTTTGCTTTATTGACCTTCAGGTTGAACCCCAATATCTGTTTCTAAGGTTTTATTAATCGTACTTCATAGTTTGACTCAGGCAACAATACCCTAGTCCACAGGAGGGTTAGGAGAGGCTAGCTTAACTTCCTTAGAATAGACCCCAGGGTTGATGTCAACTGTTCCCCCAGCATGGTCACCCCCTGCCATGGGAGTCAGGCCCAAGGCTCGCCGGTCCTGTATAAGTAATCTAAGTACAGTCCCAGTGTTGAATGAGAGGCCTCAAATATCTCTACAGAACACAGAAATACCTGCTAGTCCTCCATGCCCATTCTCACTCTCCACCTGATGTCAAAGGCTAAGGGTGACTACCCAAAGGATGTCATGGCCTAGTGCACCCCAAGATCCTTCCTAGATTCCAGGCACATCACATCTTCTGAGTTCTCCATGTCTTCAGAGGCTTGATATGTGGGGTGTACTCCCTTACCCAATCTTCCAACCACCTGCCGTGCTTAGGCCATTCCAGCACCCCTGAGCCTTGGAAGAGACAACTAAGAAGCCAGTATGCTCCCCGCCAAAAAAAAGCACCAACCCAAGGCATTCAGCATTGTCCAACCCCCTAAAGGGCCTCCCAGAGGAATCCACATACTGCCAAAACCAAGGACTCAAGGCCCGGAGACATTGATGGAGTGTGGCCCTGAGCTCTGTCCTAAAGATATAAAAGAAAGGGCTGTCCTTGGGCCAGCTAGCTTGGTCTGAGACAAAAGGCAAGAGAACACAGCGGCCCCTCCCACCCGTACCACTGCTCCTTGGACTAGAGCTGGACTAGCTTCGCGGCTGAGACTCCTATGTCAGGGACAATCACCAAGCACAGAGCCTGCAGCTTTTCCTGGATTCACCAAGGCAGGACCACTGTGCCTCTTACCACACACAGAAAAGAAAGCTCATGAGAACAGGAAAAACAGACAGACTCGGGCCACGGCAGGGATCTCATGGGTCTCAGGGAGCGGACTCTGGCGAGTTAGGCTATTTGCCTCTCAGAGGAATTATTGCTGACACGTGAGCAGGACCGAGAATACATGAGGACAGATGAGGTCTGGGAAGTGTCTGAGAGTAGGGATAGTTTATACACTTCGGGGTCTTGTGGGATCAGAGACAGAAACCAAGGTGTAACAAAAAAGGCTTAGGATGGAGAGTGGCCTAGAGATATAAGAGTCAGTTACCTGGTCTGTGACAGGAAGTGTCCAGAGTAAGAACAGAAGATGAGCCCAGGCCATGAATGGGTCCCAGCACCCCTATCCTGGTGGTCATCTGTTCACAGCAGGAGAGCTAAAGATTATGCGTGTGAGTCTGGGCTGGGTGGAGGTATGAAGAGCCAGCCCTGAGGAGATACAGGAACCCCTGCTAACATACTGGCCCCTGTCTCCTCTAGACCCTTGAGGAGTTAGAGAAGATGTCAGGGCCAGAGCCTTATCATTGGCTCCCTGTCCAGAGCTCTGTCAAAGAAATGAGAGGGGTGGCCTAGTGGCGTACGAATGCCAGTGCCAACAAAAGAGGTTTGGACAGGCTCTGAAATCAACAGTCCCTAGAGTGTGCCCCTGGCAGCACCCTGCTCCTTTGCCCATGCACGGGTTCCAATCCACGTGATATGCCATCTTCCGCGACCAGGAAGCAGGCCCTAGCCATAGTC